AGTAGCTATGCTAGATATAATAATCAAGGAACACATGGCTGTCCATTGCTGCATAATTAACCTCAACTCATTATCCAGCTGTCATATATGTGCCACACACTACCAGAAACTATAACAGCCTGAGGAATATGTACATTCTTGTAGAATAACCCAATCAGGAGTTTTACAAATGCATTTAATAGCAGGCCATCATCCTGTAATAATAGGCCTAAAACAAAATAAAAGCGCTGCAGCGAGACTGTTGTAGGCGGTCAGGGAGGAGGGGGGCCAAAATTAGGCCAATTTCGGCTTGTAGCAGGCCATATGGCCGGCGGCGGGCTCTGAACGAAACCCCTGCCAATATTTAATTATTGGGTAATATTACACTTTTATTTATGGAAAATTGCTGAAATACCTGAGATCCTATTTTTATGGAGGGTTTAAGGTGAAACCAATCCATTTCTGACCCATATTGATGGAATTCATCAGAGCTATTCATATTAATTTAAACAGACATTATTTTTATAGCCTTTGGGTGGATATCCATTATCCATTGAAGGAGACCTATATAATACTCGCTCTGATGGCAGATGGCACATATCCGGAAGCAGTCTGACTGCTTATTGTGTTGTATTTATAATGATATGTGTACATTGATGTACTGTATGTATGTGTGTGTGAGGATAGATACTGTCAAAAAAATGTCACTGTCAATTAAACAGATTTTCTTGTTTTTAAGATTTGTTAGTGTACTATAAAATACCTTATATTCGCTTGGAATTAATTTTCGCTGAAGGAATGATTCAGTAAAAATAAAATATAGCGAATATACTTTTTTTTCCTTTATTTTTCTTTCAACTCGTCAAAACTCAGTGAAAATAAATTCAAAACATCCAAAAAGTCTTTTCAGCTAAAATTAATTCCAGCTTAAATAAAGTATTTTACAGTATGTAAGAGATTAGAAAAGACATAAGCTAAGTATGGTATACGATTGATCATTTAGTACCGGTAGTTACATGTAATATGTCTTTACCGTAATAACAATATTGAGTAAAGTCGATATAGAAATTCACTCATTGAGTATGGTATTATTTTTCAATCAAAACATTTCTTAACTGAAGGAAATGAATAAAATCCAGTGAAATTACCTTATTTCCGTATGTAATGCATGATCGATGATAATTGCATATTTAAACTCAAATTGTTGTTTTCAGAGAATATAAAGTGGTGCAGAGTACTTACGGTTTTTGCCAATTGATTACTTGTCATGCAAATAAGATTTGTTCACCGATCTAAGCTATGAGTCAAAATGAAAACACAGCCATATACCATAACGGTAGTAACAATACCTTTTATTTGTCAGTCACTGTTAGCTTTGTTGTACTCAACACTTATTGTGTACAATATAGTCTGAGTAGTCTCCCTCCACAAGGGATGGTATAGTGTTAGCTACTGAGCCTTTTGACCTGCAACACAAATGACATATATAATTGCATAAGCGGAAATCAGAGATGAGAATGCTGCAATAATCATTTTGATTCTTTCATTCCGATTTAGAATAGAATAGAATATTTGCTTTATTGGCACCATGAAGAAAAATTTTGTTGTTTTTACGGTATATACCTCTATGACTGATTAAAGCTTGAACAAACAAAAAAGAAAAACCGGAAATGGTGGACATTTCTTAATTTCTACAACTTTCTGATATATCTCACCAGTGACAACAGTTGAACATCATCCTTTGTTTTCAGCATGTGAATCAATTTGTTAAATGCATCATTACGTGAAAATATCTAATTTTTCTATATGCAGTTCTCAGTTTCAGAGTTTTGTTGGTTCCTTTATTTTATTTTTATTTTATTTTTGTTGACGGAAATAACAATTTAAGTCATAGTATGTGTATGTATGCTATTTATAATACTTGTATTCAAGTCTACAAAACTGTCATTTCAATAATTCGTGAGCAGATGGCAAATAGTTTTAAATTGTATTAAAAAATGAAAAGCCACCTTATGCACATATTTAATAATTATTATACCAGTGTTCAAAATTGAAATTAAAACAACAAAATTGCCGTCTGCAATGGAATGAAACTTTATTTTTGAAACTGAATTATTTGATGGTTGAAACTTGGAACAGTTCATAGTGGACAATTGTATGTGTGTTGTTATTTGAACCAAATTGTTAACAAATAAACAGCTTGAACATATGTAGTATTATATCTAAATTTCAGTGTTTTTTTCAGTACCTTCACTTGTGTTATTTTCATGAATGTACCAGTATTTTGTTCAATTGATCATTTATTTTTACATTTGGAGAAATCATGAAAAAATGCGGTACAAAAATGCAATACGTACTTTTTCAACAACAAAAAATGCAGCTGGCTAGAACTGTGAACATAATGACCTACTGCTACAGTTATAAATGATCTTAAATCATAGGAAATAATGACATTATACACAAATATTGAAAAAATATTGGCTGTGTGACACATCACATTTTTTATGTGTGTATTTTATGTGTGTCTGGACATTAATATAAAAATAACTTGAAACTATATAATTATATTATTATACCGGTAATTACTGTCTTTAAATATATGCAATTTCCCATTTTATGTGTCACCTATTAAGGTTATTGAGTAATTCAGATATAACAATGTGTGCTGTGCTTTTGTGTTTTAACTTTCGTGCTGACTCTACTTGATAACAAATAATGCAGTATGGTGAAATGGGTGCTTCCATTGAAAACAAACCAATACATGTGTGTTATTAGCAACTGATACATTTATGTAAATAGAGGTTTTATCTAGTGTCACCAACCCTGACATGCCTTGTCCTCAAAAATAATTTCTAATATCCCTCGATATGAATGGACATTTAGAAAATGGTTATTCTTGTTTCTGTATTGGTGCATATGATAATAAAATTTGACACATTTGTGAAGGTCTAATTAAACTGGTCAGTGAGGTCAATGGAATTTCTATGACTCTGATCTAAAAACTGGTTATTGAAGGACATTTAGC